GCCCACCACAACACCCAGCTAGTTTTTGGTTGCAGCCGTCATTGTTGTTTGGTGGGCTGGACTGGATTTGAACCCCCCACCTTAGGTGTATGTGGCTGGCGCCTTAGCCACTTGAGCCACAGGTGCTGAGCCTTCCCACTGTATTTCTAAAAACAACTTTTAAAATATAATTAAAGATGTACACCCTAAAAGCAAAGGAATCTGCATATCTAATGATTAGCTTGCAAGACTGAGCAGACCATTCTAGCATTGAATGCCTCAGAACTACAACCTACCTGTGCGTACTTCCTGGCCTAAAGGGCCACTTCTTGGGATCTAGAAAACTGGTTCACTTAGTGAAGGTAATAAAACTGGTGTACAGTTTTTTGTAGACTTTAGGTCAGGAATTTTATAATCTGTCCTTAAGTTATCCATTCAAGAACTAAGAGGCATTCAAAACACATACATACATTCCTTTTAAAAAGCTGTTTAGAAATTATATGGGTAGCTATAACACTAAAGGACAGTCTGGTTTCCAGTGATCTCTAGGCCACAGGTTAGAAGCACCCACTAACACCTGCCAGGTGAATTTAACAATTCCTGCCTACAAGATTAAAAAAAAATATACAATTTTTTTACTGAATAATTTGACACATTAAACATGACCTACAAAATGTGAATTTCATAAAATTAATATCTAGAGAAAGCACAGTTTGACTTTTTAATTATGTGAAAAGTACTAAGATATTGTATATGTACGAACTGGTATGTGACATTACAGGAAATTATGGAAACTGTTATAAAAGCCTTAGTGAAACTGAACTTTAACTTTGGTAATTAAAATTTCTACTTTAATGATTTTGTCAAGATTTTTATTTACACAGGAAACAATCTTCCTAACATTTAAAAAAAAGTCATTTCAGGGGTGGCACCTGTGGCTCAAAGAAGTAGGGCACAGGCCCCATATGCCGGAGGTGGTGGGTTCAAACTCAGCCCTGGCCAAAAACTGCAAAAAGAAAAGTCATTTCACAACTACAACCATGATTACAATTTAATCATGGTATCTTAGTATTTTCCCATATATGAAATAATGGAAACCTACCTTGTTTTAAAAGATTAAATCATAAACAGAATTGTATTTGTAAAATGACTATTCATTATATAGTATTAAGAAGAATGTTTTCTGTGTACGTGAAAGCTGGGCATAGTGGTGGGTGCCTATAATCCCAGCTACTCAGGAGGCTTGAGCCCAAGAGTCTGAGGTTGCTGTGAGCTATGATGCTGCAGCACTCTACCCAGGGTGACAGAGTGAGACTCTGTCTCAAAAAAAAAAAGAAAAAGAAAAGAAAAGAAAACTCAGAGTAAGGTATCATTAGCTTTTGTTTACAATACATTGATCTATGAAACTAGATGACTCAGTGCAAAACTTTAGGGTTTCATCTTACCATGGAGTTGTATTCTAAGATGCTTAAGCCATCCTCATTTATAGCCAGCCATATGAAAGTACTTCCAAGTGGTGATGGAGTTATGGGCTAGGAAGAGGTAAAAATATACTATATTATATATGCTATGCAAAATTATGTAAATATTTTTCAGTCTAATTGGCCTGTAACATTTGCAATTAAACAATAACAAAAACTTATTTAAAATCTTTCTTGGGGAAGAGGCAGTGAGGCATACTGGAAATAGCAGGGAATCTGTTATTAGGAGACCTGGCTTTGGGACCCAAATCTACCATTTATTAACACATATGTTTGGTCAAGCTACTTGATTTCCTTATCTTTAACATGGGAACAATAATGTTTATATCTTATTTTTCTTCTCTTTTAAGAGGCTAATAGTCAACAGAGCTTGCAGGAGTTCTATGATTACTAAACTCCTAGTGAAACAAAATATATTGATGTGCTTGATAAGGTATGTAGTGCTATTTATTACAAAGGAAAGGATTATTATTGTAATTATACATTTTTCCTGAAAGTTATTAAATCTGATAGTCAATTCAATATCTAATAATAACAGAATAAAGAGAAAGGAAGGAGGAATGGGGAGTCAGTATTTAAAGGGCATAGAGCTTCAGTTTAGGAAAATAAAAAGTTCTAGAGATAAATGGTGATGACAATTTTGTTACGTGTATTTTACCATATATACACAGAAAAGGACACCATTAAGCAATAAAGAAGGTGCTGCTGTGTTATAGAGAAAGAAAAGCATGGCTCAGCACAGTGGCTCATGCCTGTAATCCTGGCACTTTGGGAGGTTGAGGTGGAACGATTGCTTGAGACCAGGAGTTTAAGACTAGCCTGAGCAAGAGTAAGACTCCCATCTGTACAAAAATAGGAAAATTAGCTCGAGATGGTGGTGCAAACCTATAGTCACAGTTACTTGGGAGGCTGAAGCAAAAGGACTGCTTGGGCCCAGGAGTTTGAGGTTGCTGTGAGCTATCATTACACTATTGCACTTGTTGTGCCAACAAGGACAGAGCATGTTATTACAGCCAAGAAGGACATTTTCATATCCTTCCAATGCTAAAGTTAGAATTAAAATTCATTTGAACTATTGATCTATGGTCCAAATCTAT